ATGTATGTTTTGTCCATTTTTAAGCCCCAACCCCCAAAATTATTATATTAACTTCGCTGTTGTTCGTACGCTTCTTTCTTTCCAAATCTTTGAAAGGCTAATTGACCCACATACTGTCACCCTGTTGAGTTGAACTAACTGGGTACATAACTCGTAGCCGATGAAAACACATTCCCCCCCCCCGCCCCCCCCCCCAAAAAAAAAAAAAAAAAAAAACAAAAAAAAAAAAAAAACAAAAAAAAAAACAAAACATATTTATTTAAGAAAAAAAAAAAAAAANNAGCTTCTCATGTTTTTTTAAGAAGAAGAAAAAAAGATGCAATGCTTTCTTAAAAAAAGGAGACGTCGCTATTTCGCAGAAAAAGGGTTAGAAGGGTTTTATACGAAAAGGGGTTTGGGGGGGGGGGGGTTAATGTAACTCTAAACGTGTGTAAGCTCAAAGGAGGCGTGCGCAAGACTGTGCTCGCCGTGACGCAATCAATTTCTTACGAGATGAAGAAAAAGATGACAGAGATTACAATAGACAGCAACAAAAAAAAAACCACAACAAAACGAACGTATTTTGACATAATGGGACAATGTAAAGGGCATGACCAGCTGTCAAGCTGGTTCAGCCAGACATCGCAGATGTTGTGAGCGCTTGAATCCGAGGAGTCAAATTGTGCCACGTAAGAATACACGGAGGCGCGAGCTGGACGCAGGACACGCAAAGTATGCGATACACCGGGGAGCAACTGGGAAGGAAAACACAGGACCGAGCTGAGGGGGAGAATTCTTGTAGACTGCATACGCCCCAGACGGGGGTAAAAGGCTTAATAAGTAAGTAAGTAAACTGTTAAACTGAGTCGTCTTCGTCTAACAAACAGTGGCACCGTAAAAGAATGTACGGATTGACAGTGAACTTTTCATTCATAATTTCAAAAGATGGCACGCTGCAATGAAAGGTCTTCGAGGATTCATTGAATGTATTCTGGATTTTATTCAAAGAAGAGTAACCTCCAAGTTTTAACGAGTTCCCACACAGTTCGTACTAAAGCCTTTCGACCCGCTCTTTAAACTTAATATAAGCGTTCATCAATTTTTAAAGTCACTTGGATGGACATTGAACCAACTATCTGTGTTAAACAAAACAAGGATCTAAATAAACATTAAAAATAATTAGGTAATAGTTAAAACAAAATCTTAGTTTATTTTTGGGAGTGGAAGTTCTTTTGATACAGCTTTTTTTTTTTTAGCTTGTGGCGTTTTATAAATACTTTATAACTTATTTTTTTGTGTAATTTTAATGTTGTTATTTTATGTGTTCTTTTCTTTGCATAAATATCTACTGGTTCTTTCATATTCACATTTTGCTCTCAGGCTAAAATATTTAAACGTAAGCTTTTTTATTTGTGGTATGCCTCGGTAGTCTGGGAAAGAGATCTAGGTGCGTGAAAAAAGTTTGCGGATCACTGCTCTCCATAGCACTGACAAAGGAATGTGTCGAATATATGCGCTTTACTAAATTATAACAGTATGCACAGGCATACCATAAAGATATGGATAATGAAGATTTTTCTAAAAACAATCTAATTAAGACGATTTCTTTAAAAAAATAGTTTGTGTTGGCAGTCATTTCACAAACTGATGTGATCGTGTTTCATTACAAACATTTTTTTGCGTGGCTCATAGCATTAAAAAGTTATATTTTTTTAACAACGACTTAAAAAAAAAAAGATGTAGACTAACATTATGAGTTTCTGTACGTAGTAGTGTTTGTAAAAACGTCTTTTCTGATTGCTGACATAAAAACCACAGAACAGTTCAGACGAGACATTAAACTTTTGCACAGCTGTAATGACTTATTATTTAAACACCCCCCCCCCTAAAAAAAAAAAAAAAAAAGCTTGTTGTAATGATAGATGTGTGCCAGAATCGGTACGTTTTTCTGATTGCTGACATAAAAACCACAGAACAGTTCAGACAAGACATTAAACTTTTGCACAGCTGTAATGACTTATTATTTAAACACCCCCCCACCTAAAAAAAAAAAAAAGCTTGTTGTAATGATAGATGTGTGCCAGAATCGGTACGACTTCCACGTGTGCTGTAGATGACCTGTCAGAGGTGGGCCCCATATGTAAGGGAATTCATTTGAAGCTTTATGTCTCTTGCTAGATATGAAAAATGATAAATATCACCACCAGAATGGGATATGTTGATACTAATCGTGACAATTTCAAATAGTCATGAAGCTTAGCGTTAAACAATGGTAAATTACTAGAAAACTTTTTGATTTTTATAATTCTTTGCTAAATAACTAATGGAATTGTTAGTTGTAAGTGACACGAAAATGTATAGGTTTCGTTTTTTATGACTACTTATTATAACTGGCCACTGAAAAACTCCGTACTTTACAATAAAATGTAACCAGTACGACATATGGCTGCACGTAGACGCTGCCTACGCCGGCAGTGCTTGTATCTGCCCTGAGTTCAGGTATCTACTGAACGGTGTAAAGGTGAGTGGGTCCACTACATCATCTTCATACATTCACTCGACGACATCGTCTTCTTTACGTTATTTCGAAGGCGTACCGTTAAACAGTTCATCATTGGTGTTAGAATATTGACTGTAGTCTTTAAGTCGGTAGTCTTTAAGCCACAATGGAGATGACACCAGTAGTAGACCCACGTGATTGATTAGGACGTATACCAGCAGTAGGCCTACATGGTTTGCTAGGATTTAATACAATCGTAGATGGGTTGTTAGGAATTACACCAAAATCCATTATATGGTTTTGAAGTCTGTAAAAAATTTTTTTTGAATATTAATATTAAAGTAGCATTTAATACTAAACAAATAAATACCAATTGAACAAAATATTATAAATAACCAACAATTTCCTAACAGCAAGAGCAAATGTATATTCAAATAATGTTTCTGTCCCTTTTCTGACAAATGCCATGACTTTAAAAGTGCACGAAATGTTACTCGTGAAACTTTATATAAGCTAATCAAACTAGCTAATCAAACTATTCCCCTATATACAAAGAAAATAAATAATAGAAAATGTTGGAAAAAAAAAATTATTATCTGCCATTCTTGAGTCATGATTATAAATTATTTATATTTCTGATGCATCTAAATTGCATGATAGATAATGAAATGACATGAACATTATAAATATAGTTGTACTTCACAAAAAATATAATTATATGATCTTAGTTTTAAAATGTTAATATATGCTTGAACAAGTGTAATAAGTTATTGTTCTCGCTGTAATCTATATCCACATCAATCTTCCCTCGGCCCCGTTCCACAGCACGCGACCACATTCAACTTTGACCCCCACAAGTGGCTCCGTATCAACCACTAATGTTCAGCAATGTGATAAGTTCAAAGAATCACGGAATAAGGACCCAGAAAGTCAGGGCCAGGGACAAGGGTCAAGCGACACTTATTTCAGGTGAACAATCGGAAGGGGTACCAAATTAAAGTGTTTAAAAAAAAAACCCAACAGTATATTAATAGGGCGCAAATTGATAATTCTTTCTCGTGTGAACAAAGTATTTAAAAAATGTAAAAAAAAACAACAACTCTTGGCCGGGCTCTGCCAGAAGTTTTAAATCTTTCAAGTTTGGATGTTAGTTCAAATATTATAAAAGCAGAATTTAATGTACGTTTTGCAACTAGGAAAAAAACATGATAAAATTCTTTTTTTTTTTGGTAGTGATTAAAACTTGATTTGCTAATATATCTAGGAAGCAGACGGATTTAATTCACGTTTGACTTGTGTTTGGACAATATAGGGTCAAGGACACAGATCTTATTAGTGAAGCATACCAGATAAATTCTACGTATTTGGAACCCCACAGAGAGATCAACACGATTCCCGAGTTTAGGGTAAGCCAAAAATTTAGGGTAAGACAACAGTTTAGGTTAAGACAATTAACGTTTAGGGTAAGACAACACTTTAGAGTAAGAGAACAATATAGGATTTAGACACTATTTAGGGTAGGACAACAGTATAGGGTAAGATAACAGTTTAAAGTAAGACAACAGGTTAGGGTAAGACAACAGTTTAAAGTAAGACAACGGTTTGTGATAAGACAACAGCTTGGGGGAAGACAGCAATGTACGGTATGCTAAGGCTAAAGAAAATTCTCTCTCTTTCTATTGTCTAAAAGTGTAGATCTGAGTGGTAACGTGGGCCAAAAGGTTTGAAGTTTAAAACAAAAGAAACTATCAACTTTGAATTGAAAATGAACAGTAAAACCGAACGGTGTCAGGGTACTACTCCAAAAGTCACGTGACGACTCTGATCTGGTGAATGACCTCCTGTTATTTATTTGGTGCGAACTGGCATTTATTTATTACATTTTATTTATTGTCTTCAATGTCATTTATTGAGTCAACATTCATTTATTGAGTGACCATTCATTTATTGTGTCACCAGTAATTTTTTTGTGTCACCAGTCATTTATTGAGTCACCATTCATTTATTGAGTGACAATTCATCTATTGTGTCATCAGTCATTTATTGTGTCACCAGTCATTTATTGAGTTACCAGTCATCTGTTGTGTCACCAGTCATTTATTGAGTTACCAGTCATCTGTTGTGTCACCAGTCATTTATTGTGTCACCAGTCATTTATTGAGTGACAATTAAAGTAGAACAATCGAACACAAGACATCTAAAAGTAGTTCTCAAGCGCAACAAGCAAACCGTCACATGCCACGGAACGTCGCACTCAGTTTGTGATAATTTGTGACTTGGAAGACGGATTGTTTAGATTTTTCAGCAGCCAAAACCTGCTTTCGTGCACTGCGGACTTGGAACTACTTTTAAAAAGAAAAGAAAAAAAAAAGACTGCCTTATGAAAATTAAATGCAACACACGTTAAAGTTCACAAAGTGTCACCTGGTACCTTTTTTTTTTTTTTTTTTTACTAAAGTTTCCAATGGTTCCCTTTTTGTTACTTTGAATCAAAAAAAAATATGAAAAAAAAAAAAAAAAATAAAAATAGGCCACGTGGGAGATAACGCGATTCTATATAAGTTGAAAGTGAAGAATTAGACTAAAGTTTTTTTCAAAGGCTATTTAATGATTCGACAAGCTCGAGTGTCCCATTTTACCGCATGCTATGACCAAACACTAACCCGCTTCTATGCAATCGAACTATTTAAGGCGGGAATTGTTTATTTGTACTTAATTTACAACTGCTTGTTGCCATGGACGCCTCTGAGTTTCGAGCCAGCGCACGTGAGATGATTGACATCGTCACAGACTACCTGGAGAACATCCGAGAGCGCCCCGTGTTTCCTGACGTCACACCCGGGTACCTGAGACAGATGTTACCGCCACGCGCGCCAGATGAGGGGGAGACATGGGACGAGGTCAAGAACGATTTGGAACGTGTGATCATGTCTGGGGTGAGTTAAGCACAGTTTAGAGGAAGATTTGGAAGTGTGATAATATCTGGGGTGAGTTAAGCAAAGTTTAGAGGAAGATTTGGAACGTGTGATAATATCTGGGGTGAGTTAAGCAAAGTTTAGAGGAAGATTTGGAACGTGTGATAATATCTGGGGTGAGTTAAGCAAAGTTTAGAGGAAGATTTGGAACGTGTGATCATGTCTGGGGTGAGTTAAGCAAAGTTTAGAGGAAGATTTGGAACGTGTGATGATGTCTGGGGTGAGTTAAGCAAAGTTTAGAGGAAGATTTGGAACGTGTGATAATATCTGGGGTGAGTTAAGCAAAGTTTAGAGGAAGATTTGGAAGGTGTGATATATTTGGTATATTTTTGGTGCATGCTTGGTGTATGTTTTGTGTATGTTTTGGTACATGTTTGGTGTACGTATTGGTGTATGTATTGGTGAATTTGTGATGTATGCATTGGTGAATGTTCAGTGTATGTATTGGTGAATGTTTGGTATATGTATTGGTACATATTTGGTGTACGTATTGGTGTATGTTTTGGTTAATGTTTGGTGTATGTTATTGAATGTATTGGTGTTTGTTTGGTGTATGTTTGATGTATGTTTGGTGTATGTTTGCTGTATGATTGCTGTATGTTTTGGTTAATGTTTGGTGTATGTTATTGAATGTATTGGTGTATGTTTGGTGTATGTTTGATGTATGTTTGGTGTATGTTTGGTGTATGTTTGTTGTATGTTTGATGTATGTTTGGGTTAATGTTTGGTCTATGTAGTTGTGAATGTTTGGTATATTTTTGGTGCATGCTTGGTGTATGTTTTGTGTATGTTTTGGTACATGTTTGGTGTACGTATTGGTGTATGTATTGGTGAATTTGTGATGTATGCATTGGTGAATGTTCAGTGTATGTATTGGTGAATGTTTGATATATGTATTGGTACATATTTGGTGTACGTATTGGTGTATGCATTGGTGAATATTTGGTGTATGCATTGGTTAATATTTGGTGTATGCATTGGTAAATATTTGGTGTATGCATTGGTAAATATTTGGTGTATGCATTGGTGAATATTTGGTGTATGCATTGGTGAATATTTGGTGTATGCATTGGTGAATATTTGGTGTATGCATTGGTGAATATTTGGTGTAGGCATTGGTGAACCTTATGGTGTGTTGTACAGCCTACTATACACTTGTGGAATGTTTTGTGTCAAGTAAGCGAGTTTCATCTATTAATGGCTTTCTCTCTTTTTTTTTGGATCTTTAACGTAAAGCATATAGTTCACGGTATAGGATGAGTTGATTAAAAAATGCAGTTGTACCAGTGCAACGGTTAGAGTAGGACCTTAGAGTAGAACAGGATCAGAGTTAGTATTTGACTTTTTAGTTGGTGTATTCAGTTACAGTTACTTTGGTTACAGTTATATGTCCTCAGTTATATGTCCTATAGAATCATACTGAAATACAAAGATAAGATTTAAAAAGCAAAATTTATGTTGCCTTCAGGGGTAAGTTTTTTGTTGTTATTTTTTGTGTGTGAAATACTGAACTTATACTAATAAATCATACCCTAGACCAGGAGTTCTCAAAAATATACGACCCAGTAGCCTAATTTATGGATGGGACAGTCCCGATGGCCGGCCACTTCCACAAGGGGGCAGTCTTAAGTTGTATTTACGACTACTCTACAGCGGCTTGCATCGCTTTACCAGGCCATCAATTGCGAAAAAAAAAAAAAAAAATTAGATTACACAATATATTTTGTTAAAGCATTTGCCATTTTTTTTGTAGGAGGCGTAATAATGAAACTCAACACTGTTTTAGTGGCTGAATTCATTTAATGAAAAGGTTATGTTTTTATACGAAACAACTTTCTGTGTGAGAGAAATTAATTTGACTACGTCTCAAAATGGTCCGTTAGTCAACAAAACTTTCATTGAGTTTTTTCCCCTCCATATGTTTGTCTGTGATCGTTCGGGGAGATTTTGTCTTGATGGTGTTCTTTCTCAAAATGTGTGTTGATCACAATGTTGTCGAGAATGTTATCTGATACGCTCCGAATAGTCGGATATTTAATTCTGCAACCAACTTCCACTATAAGCGTGTGACGTCCTGGTCACGAAGCTTCAGAATTTCATTTCCCTGCATATCAGCAGTTTACAAGCTGAAGAGAAGCTTGACTTATTGTGGGAAATATCGGTCGACAAAAAATAATTTCCTGACAGCCTAGCATAATCTTTCAATCGACTTGACAACTCGTTTTTTTAAAAATTGTTCTGTGCTGGAAATTAACATTAGTTTAATTGGATCGAGAATCACGCACAAATGAAACAACAACTTCAAAACCGTTTGCCTTAGAAAATAACACACAATGGCCAAACAGCATCACCAACAAAGAGTTATTGGGGAGGAAAAGCCAAGAGTCTATAGCGGAATACATTTGAAGGGTTCAAGGGAAAAAACCAGTGATGTCAGTTTTTCAAAATTTCTATGTTATCTCCCTTGTGGCTACATTCCGTTTAATAGAATAATATGATACATAGGTCGAACTGAAAAAGCAGCGTACTCAATAAATAAATACGTAGACATCTTGATATTTTCATACTTTTATGAGGAATTTTAAAACTTTAAATTCAATTTTCTCAAAACTCTCAAAACCTGTCATCACTGGTTTTTCCCTTGAACCCTTCATTTGAATACATTGTAAGTAGAAGATGGAGTGGATAGGGCATGCTCTAACACGGAATGCTCAGGGAAGAAGAAAGAAAAGAAGGCATAAGAATACATGGGGACGCGAGCTAGAGGCAGGCACAAAAATTATTGGATACACCTGGAAGCAACTGGACAATGAAAGTACAGGACCGATATGAATTGAAATTCTTTTAGAACGGAATTTGTTCCCGCGGGGGTAGGGGGGGCACAAAAGCATAAGTAAGTAAATAATGGGATCAAGCTGTTAATCTTTCATATAAATACGCACTTTATATGAAGATACAACCGCAGACTTGATTCCAGTTACGGCCAAATGGTTCCAAAATTCATCTGAAAGGAATATTACAATTCTGATGAAGCTCCATGAGCTATGCAAGTTTCATTGCATCATTTTAGCCAATCTCCTGATCAGTTTTGAACACAAAACTGATTGGTGAATATTGCTGTGATGTCATCTCAATTTCGGTTCACCTGGCTTAAGACAACTGGCAAGACATTAGGTCATTCCCTTTCTCAGATTTTGGAACCAAATTTTTTCAGAGAGAAAAGTTTCTGACATCAAGTTCATTTTAAGATCCTTTATATTAACTTCCATTTAATTCGTGGCTGTCTATCAAAATCTTCGGACGGCTAATTGACCCACTTCCCATTACCCTACCAAGCAGAACACTTGGCACATAGACTCTTTTCTGATAACACACGTTCTTTCAGGATTTCAACCACAACTCTTTAACCCCACCACCCCCAAATCGAAAAAATATTTTAAAAAATCAGTTTTTTAATATTTTTAAATGAGAAAATGAAGGAAATATGATGACACTGATGTCACGAAATAAAAGTCCCGATAACTGCGCTCAACGAGATTGTAAAAACCAAGCGCGTTTAGTGCCTACTATTTTCTTTTGTTAGTCTGAAAAGAGTTGTTGAAATAAATCTGCGGCGTAAAAGGGGGGCTAATCTTTAGAATACTACTATAGTTCTGGGCCGTGAAAAGAAATGTTTGGTTGCGGGCCTTTGCAGGGAGGCGGAGCACACATTGGGATTCTCGTCAAGTGCTCTCTACTTGTTGTATGCGTGTTTTGTCAAATTTTCAGTCCCCACCCCCATTGCTCCATCTTAAATTTTATAAAGGATTTATACGAAAAATGTTTTTAAAAGTTACAAGTGTTCAATTTTTTAAACATTTTTAAAAGAGTTTTTTTTTTTAATATATTGAGCTTTAGTCCCTTTGAATGTTAAAAGGCCAAAAAAAAAATATCCTGAAACTAAATATGTAAAAATTATATAGACAAACAAAGAAGCAAGGTTTAATTCATACTTTTAGTTTAAGAAATGGTATGGGATTAAATGTGAGCTATTCGATATCTCAAATGATGTCATTTTAGACCTAAATTCAATTTGTGAAAATGTCTGATTATCATTGCGTTTTTTAATTTTTTTATAAGGTTTAGGTAATAAAAAAAAGTTTCAAATTATAAATTTAAATAACTTAATGTCAAGCGTTTATCTGTAATGGACTAATAACACGAGTTCTTTTGAAAAAAAAAAGTCTAACCTATCTCTCAAAATGTGTCGATGTTCATATATTTACCCCTTAAACATTATTAATTATAAGGTTAATTACACCAATTACACAATTAAAAAAAATAAATATAATTCACATTTTCAATTTTATGTCCTCAGGTGAACCACTGGCAGAGTCCCAACTTTTATGCTTACTTTCCCACCGGTAACTCATACCCATCGATGCTTGGCTCCATGCTCACTGATGGAATAAGTACATTGTGTTTCTCATGGGTAAGTATATAAGCAATGTGTTTCCCATGGGGGAGTTTATAAGCAATGTGTACGCATTGGTCAGTTTACACGTCATGAATTTGTTTAATATAATTCACATATTGTGAGTTGAATAAAATGCATTTTTTTTGGATACATGTTTGTCAAGTAACTGTAGTAGATTAACGCATATTCGTCGCAATTGTTTGTGGGCTTATTTCTATTATTAATGATTAAAAGTGATATCTTTGAAGCAGGCCTGCACAACATACGGCCAGTGGGCCGCATGTGGCCCGCCAGCACCCTCTTTGCGGCCCGCGAAGTAACGAAATATTATTTATTCTTATTATTTTCTTAATAGCTTTTCCCACCTGTCCTATTTTCTTTTGACCCGCACAAGTCCTGTCCTATTTTCTTTTGGCTCGCACAAGTTTTTCAAAAAATATTACGGCCATGGGCACCAGCAGGGGGGGGGGAAGGGGGGAACTTGCCCCCTCCCCCTAGATTGCTTGGATAAAATTTTTTTAGACAAAATAGACAAAAAAATTATTAAAGTAAAGAGAAAATAAAGAGAAAGTAACTAAGCTGATGTCCTGTCCGTTCTTTCCCCATACAAATACGCTACAGTAAATTAAAACTACATTAAAACATTACTAAATTTTTTTTTGACCCAACCCCCCCCCCCGGAAAGTTAATCGATTTTTTTGGCCTCCCCCCCACCTAGAAAGTTTTCTGCGGGCGCCCATGATTACGGCCTGCCTTACATTTTGAGTTGTGCAGGCCTGCTCTGAAGGAATACATTTAGTCGGATGGTATTTTATCAGTCAATAACAACGGGTTTTTTTTGTATAGTTTTTTTATTACCGCTGTAAAAACAATTAACTAAACACATTTTCTAATAAGGAACGTATTTATAATTTTTTAAGTTATTATGCATAAGACAAGTGCTCACAATGTCCCGTCTCAGAATTCCTGCCCCGTCGGTACAGAGCTTGAGGTCACTATGATGAACTGGCTTGCTGATATGATCGGTCTTCCTGACGCTTTTCATTTTCACCCCGGTGGCAAAGGTGGCGGTGCATTACAGGTAGTCCCATGCTTTGCCCGAGTGGCTGTACATTACAGGTAGTCTCATGCTTTACCCGAGTGGCTGTACATTACAGGTAGTCCTATAGTTTACCCGAGTGGCTGTACATTACAGGTAGTCCTTAGCTTTGCCCGAGTGGCTGTACATTACAGGTAGTCCCATGCTTTACCCGAGTGGCTGTACATTACAGGTAGTCCTATGGTTTACCCGAGTGGCTGTACATTACAGGTAGTCCTTAGCTTTGCCCGAGTGGCTGTACATTACAGGTAGTCCCATGCTTTACCCGAGTGGCTGTACATTACAGGTAGTCCCATGCTTTACCCGAGTGGCTGTACATTACAGGTAGTCCCATGCTTTACCCGAGTGGCTGTACATTACAGGTACTCCCATGCTTTACCCGAGAGGCTGTACATTACATGTAGTCTACTGATTTAAATATATGAGATGTAAATCATGATGGCTATCATAAACAGACCCTAGTGTAACTGGTGGGCTGTGTTAAAAATGCATTATAGTGGTTCATGTTATAGTGCAACCGATACACAGGGGAAAAAAAATTGTTATGAAAGCAGCTGTTGTGAATAATGGTTAGTGAATAGTGTTGCCGTTAAATGGTTAAATCAGATGAGGAAATCAGTAAATGATTAGAGTTTATTAATTTTTTTTAAAAAGACTTTTATTTTTTTTTTCACTGGCATTTCCATCTTCTTGTCAAATCGTATTTTATTTTGTATACACACGTGACTCTACCAATGAGTTGATCGTCTGTCTCTTAAAGTGTTCACCTGGTTAACGGCAGCGGGGGTGGGGGGGGTTAATGAAGGGGTGGGGGAATAGTTGTTCCGAAGGCGTTAGGGGGCAAGGTTGCGGTAAGTTGGTTTGAGGGAGAAGGTGCGTTGGTGTGTGATGGGGGAAACCCCCAAGTTAACCTCTGACTATGCTTTACCTGAGTGGTTAATACAGAGGGTTCCGTGAAATACGCGCACACGACAAACGCGCGCACGATAATCGCGCACAGAAAATTCCGCAAAGACAAAGCTGCGCACAGGAAAACTGTGCACACCGACTGTTGCGTACTCAGAAAATTCAGTACACCGACTAAAGCGTGCACGGAAAATTGCGCACACTGACAATTGCGAACCATGACAATGGCGAACACATTCAAATGCGTAAAATGTAATTTTAAGTTGTAATTGTAAATTCATTAAAGAGTTGAAAAGGTTGTTGTTGGTCATCAGCGTAAAAGACTAGTCGGCAATTATAAGGGGCTAGGGTTAAAAATACCCGGTAATCATTTTAAAGAAGAAAAACTAATTTTTAAAATTATACTCAAAGACTATACACACATTTAATAATTATAGTAGTAATTAATTATCTACGTAACAATAGATTTATTACACCAAATGTTAAATTTTTACTTTTAAATTATAGTCGCAATAAGCAAAATGACACCTGTAACTGTAGGCGTAAGCAGTGTTATATTTTTAATTCCATAGACAATTAGTAGGCCTACGTTGGCCCATAAAGTCGTAATGAAGTATTATAATTATAGTTTAAAATAATCGTCCTAAGTATTTTAGTTTTATTAATTATAATTTAAAATAAATCTTCCTACCCTTAGGCCTAGTCTAAGCCTAATTATGTTTCATTATTCATTATAGTTTAAAATAATGGTCTACCTTCTAGTGCCTAAGCCTAATTGAGTTTCACAAAGTAGTTAAAAATAACGGCCCTAAGTTATAGCCTATAGAATGCTCTTTACGCATAAAGATAATGCGAATATCATATACTTGCGATATTAATAAGTCAAAAAAAAAAAAAAAGAAAATATTAGCCAATTTTNATGAATTGTATGTGATGATTTGTTGAATGTTTTCCTTTGAAATAAAAAAAAAACAACCTATAATTATTAACAATAGTTGAATATTTTAAATTTTTGAGGGTTTGCATGAAATTTAAAATCTTGTCTAAATTACTTGAATGTAGCTTGAATGTGCGCTATAATTCTCAGAAAAAATATTTTCTTTCGCTATTTAAGTTTTTTTTTTTTTTTTTTTGGTTAAAATTATGTTTAAATTCATTGTTTATCATACTGTCTCACTGATTCGTAGACTTTTATTTTTCCCAACATTCTTTTGTGCTTGATAGGATACTGAACTGAACCATGTTAAATCTAAAAATGTGGCTCAAAATAAATCTTAATTAAAATGTGCGCATTTTTGTGTGTTCGCTATTGTCAAGGTTCGCAATTGTCCGTGTGCGGAATTTTCTGTCCGCATTTGGCGGTGTGCGCTGTTTTCTATGTGCGCAACTCTCGGTGTGCGTTGTTTTCTGTGTGCGCATCAGTCGGTGTGCGCAGTTTTCCTGTGCGCAAATATGTATTTGCGGGTTTTTCTGTGCGCGTTTATCGTGTGCGCGTTTGTCTAGTGCGCATATTTCTGGTCACCGATACTGAGTGTGTGTTGAGACGACTTCTGGAATGTCGTTACCACTTTTTAATTCTAAAAAAAAAAAGGCAAATACAAAATTGATAATAAAAGGGTAAATAAAAAAAGGACTTCCTATCAAAGACGCGTTAAACGCCACGAATCCTTTGGTTACATAATGTGCTCATCGACGCTCTGCGAAAATTTTCTTTGTAAATGCATGTTTAAACATTTTTAATTTTTTAAAAATTTTTAATGCGTTTAAACTCGTTTTTGATGGACTGTCATTAAAAAAAATAATAAAATGGTTATAGATATATTTTTTTTTTTTACTCTCAGATTATACCTGGTTTAACTATTGCATTTGACAATCCGGACACAGCCTTGTAAGTTTGGCTTGTACAAAACTAACAGAAAAAAAGGTTAAACAAACAATCCTTCCATATAGTTTCTGGACCTTGCGGTTAAGCTTATAACAGTGAGATTCTTATTTTTTTCCAGGGATCAGCCAGTGAGGCAACACTGATCGCTCTCTTGTCTGCAAGAAATGTTACTTTGCTAAATCTCAAAGAAAAGGATCCGGCTCTGACCACTGGTCAGATCATTGACCGACTGGTGGCGTACACATCTGAGGAGGTGCGAAGGAATACTAACTTTCTTTATCATTTAATATACAATGAATAATATCTATAGGGTCTTTAGCCTTCAATAAACTCACCTGCGTCTTCAGCCTTTAATAAACTCACCTGCGTCTTCAGCCTTCAATAAACTCACCTGCGTCTTCAGCCTTCAATAAACTCACCTGCGTCTTCAGCCTTCAATAAACTCACCTGCGTCTTTAGCCTTCAATAAACTCACCTGCGTCTTCAGCCTTCAATAAACTCACCTGCGTCTTTAGCCTTCAATAAACTCACCTGCGTCTTTAGCCTTCAATAAACTCACCTGCGTCTTTAGCCTTCAATAAACTCACCTGCGTCTTTAGCCTTCAATAAACTCCCCTGCGTCTTTAGCCTTCAATAAACTCACCTGCATCTTTAGCCTTCAATAAACTCACCTGCGTCTGCAGCCTTCAATAAACTCACCTGCGTCTGCAGCCTTCAATAAACTCACCTGCGTCTGCAGCCTTCAATAAACTCACCTGCCTCTTTAGTCTTCAATAAACTCACCTGCGTCTTTAGCCTTCAATAAACTCACCGGCGTCTTTAGTCTTTAGTAAAATAACCTGCATCTTAGACTTCAGTAAACTAACCAGCATCTTAGGCACGGTAAACTAACCTGCATCTTAGCTTTCAATGAACTCGCCGGCGTCTTTAGTCTTTATTAAACTAACCTGCATCTTAGCCTTCCGTAAACGAACCAACATCTCAGCCTTCAGTAAACTAATCCGCATCTTAGCCTTTAGTAAACTAATCCGCATCTTAGCCTTTAGTAAACTAACCCGCATCTTAGCCTTCAGTAAACTAACCCTTTAGTAAACTAACTAATTATAAAAAGTGTTGGACTGAAATAAAGCTCCAAAATAGATTAATAAGACACGAACACATTTTATCAATATAACAATATTAGTTACGCTTTAATAATAAATATACATTTTACACAAGTAAACGTTTCGGCACATGTCTTCTTCAGTACGAACAAAAAAACACATTTAAATAAGTATAAATTAAATTTACATAATATAAATATACATATCCTGCCTAAATAAGACAAAAATAGGAGAGGGCGCTAAAACCAGACAAAAACAAAGTAAAGAGGAATAGAAAGGAAGTGATTTGAACATAATTGTAAAAACCAAACAGGAAAAAGACATGGAAGCTAAGCAAAATTGCGGATTTGGTTAATTCCATATGGAGACAACGTACCAAATCTTGTTATTAATTTGTTCTCCTTATAGATTCTATCTGTAGTGTCTTATTAATCTATCTTTAGTAAACTAACCAGCATCTTAGCCTTCAATAAACTAAGCCGCATCTTAGCCTTCGATAAACTGGACAGCATCTTAGCCTTCGATAAACTGGCCAGCATCTTAGCCTTTAGTAAACTAACCCGTATCTGAGCCTTCGGTAAACTAACCACATCTTAGCCTTCAGTAAACTAACCAGCATCTCAGCCTTCAGTAAACTAACAAGCACCATAGCCTTCATTACACTAACCTGCTTCTTTAGCTCTTAATAGACTAACCTGCAATTTTAGCTTTGAATTTGCTAGCTAGAGAACACGTTTAAAGATATTTCAGAGAAATCTGACACGCTTCACAATAAAAGGCAGACATTGTTAAAAAGTTGATTTATAATAAAATGTTGGCGAGTAGAGACCGACCGAACTTCGGCTGCGATTTTGGCGCCGAAAGTTGCCATTTGATCACTATCGGCCTAAGTTTCGATTTAGGCCGAAACTTAAAAGTTAACTCTCGGCTTCATTTCGGTTTCGGCCGAAACAGGAAATCACTTTCGGTCCGCCTCTATCCCTGAGTCAGACTGAATCTATCGAAAGGCGAATTAACATACAATTTAAAGGTTTAGTCCTTTCTGATGCATTTATTGTGAAATTTGTTTTAGGGCCATAGCTCTGTTCAACGGGCAGCCCTTTACGGCCTGGTAGAGATGCGAATCTTACCAGTCGATGACAAAGGAGCTCTGCGTGGTCCAGTGCTGAAGGCAGCCATAGAGAAAGACATAGGTGCTGGACTTGTTCCTTTCTTTGTAAGTTGCATGTGCATGTGTGTCCATTTCACCAGTCTTTACACAACGCTTTAAATTATAAATAGAGATTCCTTTACATTAAATCTGAGCAAACGCTTGGGCCTCGCGAAACCCCCGCGGTCTCAGGGGCTTCAAAGGTACACAATTCCCAAATTATAATTCGGATAAATGTAAATGTAAATGATAAACATAGAAAGCAAAAAAAAAAAGTGTGTGGGGGGGGGGTGTGGAAGCCGAAAAGTTGTTAATAGGGCTCCAAAAGTCACGCGACGACTCCTCTGCATTTAATGATTAGAAAAAAGGTATTCAACCTAGGCTAAACAATTTATAGACACTGGCAAAGTGCGTCATCCCAGATAGAATAACATAAAGGGCGTCGACTTTAGACAGTTGCAAAGAGAATCGACAATAGACAAGATAAACTTTGTCGTACGGTGGCCTTCACTTGTTGTACCATTGTACAATATATGGTGTCCTCTCTTATGATTGCAATGATACAATTAAATAACCACGCCGTTTTCACCCGGTGTAATTTATACGATATATTTTATTTTCTCCAATTATACAGTAAGGAATATAATTCTTTTAAATATCAATCACTGTAAGGGCGTCTACTCTAGAGGGTTGCAAAGAGAGTCCAGTGTAGACAGTTGCAAGCAGCTTCCAGTTTAGAAAGTTGCAAAGAGCGTCCACTTATCGTACTCAAAGCGGGTTGCCTTCAGTTTTGACACGATGTGCGCCGTGTGAAGACATTACAATTTATTGACGTCCTCTCTTAAGATTGCACACGAGTCCATTAACCAACAGCGTCCTCTTCTCCAGGTGTGCGCCACCATCGGTTCAACTGGCACTTGCGCGTCGGACGACCTATCAGAGCTGGGCCCAATATGTAAGTGAATTTGAAAAATGGCTTAGTTATTTGAGACAGCACCACGGTTTATTAACAAAGTTAATTTTAACAAAGCTCCTCTTGAATTTTGTATAACTTAAAAGATTTAAAAAAAAAAATATTTATAATCAAATTACGTGATCTTAACCTGGTCTAGGCATGACATTTGCCATGTCTGAGATACTCTAAGCTTAACAGTAGCTGGGAAAATTTTAAAGCTAAAAGTGATGAAATGTTTAATGGAAGTCTTTTAAATAAAGATCATCATCTTCATGGCACCCATGCGGACCGGCTTGCGCACGGGGGAAGACAATGGAATTTCACCTCAATTTCTGGGCTGCGTCTGTATGGAGCTGTCAGATTTATATAGCACGGACCTTGTCTATAGGCCAATTGAAAACTTAATTGAATGTATACCTTTAAGATAAGATTATATTGGGTGGATGAGCGGTTGAAACTGAGTCAATCCTATGCTTGAGTTCAAGCCCCAAAATAAATCGTAGACAAGCAAAAAAAAAAAAAAAAAAAAAAAAACAAAAAAAAAAAGCTAAAAAAAAAAAAAAAAAAAAAAAAAAAAAAAAAAACCCAAAAAAAAAAAAAATCCTAATGAATGGGACTCGTTAACCGTGGATGGCATCTCATCTAATAGAAGACAAAATCTAAAATCATACCCGGAGATGGAGTCCCGTAGGTGGCATGACATTGCCACAATGAAAACTCGGACAACTTAGTAACGCAGAATGCATAAAGAGCACAAAGAAATACGTAAAAAGAAAACCGCTGGTCATCCACTGCATCCTGGTCTATTTCTAATCGTCCTGACGAAGTCTTGCCTTTTGATCAAACAGGCAACGACGAGAGAGCGAGGCGGACGAATTGAGCAACTCTGCCTCACTTAAAATGAAATACAGCTCAAGTCAAGGCTACAATTCAAGTCGAAAATTATTCCGGTCATCTTCGCGGGCTAAGGGCGAACATGAATATGACATGCATCAAGACGGGCATATTTATGATTATGATAATAACTGTTTCAATAACACGAAATTCTGTAAATTTGCAATGACAGGTAACCAGTTCGACATATGGCTGCACGTAGACGCTGCCTACGCTGGCAGTGCCTGCATCTGCCCTGAGTTCAGGTATCTGCTGAACGGCATACAGGTGAGTTTGTTAGCATTAATTCTGTGAGACTTATCTTTATATTTCGGCCAGCGTTTCCCAAATGGCAGGGACGTGACCCGGTACGGGGCAACAACATTACTCATACTAGCGACAAACATTGGCGGAAGCAATGCGTGAACTTCCCATCTACTAAAGTTACTTGACAAAACCGTGAACTCAAGTTACGCACATTTAAAAATGCCAATTTTGCTACACCTCCCCCCCCCCCCTTTTTTTTTCATGATACGTCACTGCACACTTTTTAATTTCACGCCCATGAACTCTATAAATATAGCTGGCCCGCGGCGTAGCATACGTCGCAGAATTGCTCGCTGGCTCAGAGCTTGTTGGGGTGTGCACATGGCTGACAAGCGAGGGTGGTGCAGGAGGGGGGGACGGACGTTAGTTCCACCGCAAGGCAAGGGGACGGTTTGCCTGCTTCTTGCTTGCTATGGCGTATCTATATATAGCCTGCATGGTCATCGTCTTCTTGCTTGTCTTACTTTCTGTCGGATTATATATATATATATATATATATATANATATATATATATATATATATATAGATACTGGGTCATGAATTATTTTTTCGAATGCAAGCTCAGTTTTTTGCGCCCCCCCCCCACCATTAAATATCGCCAGATGCATGGAATGTGTGGACCAGTAATCAGAGAATTTTTTGGATCTGAGAAAAAAAAAGTTAGCTTCCTTTTCTCCAAACCTGAATTAAAATTTAAAATAAATTAAACAAAAAAAGTCTCACACTTCCCATTAATCAATGCTATACCAGATTTTTTAAATAGTCCATGCGTTTTTTCTAAATTGTAATTTATACTAAAGTGGATTAAATTTAAATTAAATTGTATAGCCCAGAAAAGTTATCACCCTTTTAATGGGTCAAGGAGGAAAAGTATAACACTATAAACGGACCACGCAAAAAAGAAAACTTCGGGTAACGCTGCATTAGGTGGAAAGGAAGTATTTGAACATTTATGAACTTTCATGTTCATGTATTGCCTCGTTCATTTTGTTTAATGCTACTCAAATGCAGGGGGTCTCCAAACTACAGCCCGCGTGCCGCATGTGGCCCACGATTCCCTTTCATGCGGCCCGTAGAGAACTTTTTGTCGACGGAAAAAAATTTCGGAAATTTACGTGTATCCTGCCAAGATCAGCCGCCGCTTGCATGGGTGTGATGTTTTTACCGCATTGAAATAGAGGCGCGCAGTGGTGCGTTATGTTTTACAACCGATCAGAACATTGCAAAACAAAACGTCATTCGCTGCTTAGTCTTTCTCCTACCGTTCACAGTCAATGAGATGATCTAGCGCCATCTACGCGGCAGAGTTTGTAAATGGTTTGCTGCGTGTTCAAGACTTGATGATTTTGATCACAGTTTGACAGTTGCCGTTGACTGCTGCGATGAGGAGGTGTTGGTGTCAGTTAGCGTCTGATTGCGTAACATGTTGCACTCTATTTTTATTTAGTGATAATTGCCTTCGCGTAATTACTTATCACTGTGTTTAAAGTATTAGGAATGTCGTTACTTTAGTAAGAATTTTTCGAATATTCTAACGAGGAAAAATGAAAAGCAACAATCTCTCTACCATAAGGGGGCTTCCATTAATAACATTAACAAAATAGGGGGGGGGGGGCGGGAAGGGTTTGGCAATGCTTGACAGCTAATGACAGGGGGAGGGAGAGGGATTTAGAGTAGTTGACGTCAACAATCATGTTTTCTCTATTAAAATTTTAATCTTAAAAATTGACTGTTAATTATTACATTATTTTAAAAATTTCCATTAATAACATTAACAAAATAGGGGGGGGGGGGCGGGAAGGGTTTGGCAATGCTTGACAGCTAATGACAAGGGGGGGGAGAGGGATTTAGAGTAGTTGACGTCAACAATCATGTTTTCTCTATTAAAATTTTAATCTTAAAAATTGACTGGTTATTATTACATTATTTTAAAAAATTTATAAGTGTAAATGAGTGTAAATAGTCATATAATTGTTATGCCGTTGATATATCTTTGCACACTATATTCAGGTAAGTTTAATTTAAGAAATCATACAAAATTTTAAAAATTGTTTCGGGTCATGTGCAGCTATAAATGCGACGAAATTAGTTTGCCTTATCAGGTTCTTTGAGCGATATTTTTTGCTAGATATTTTCAGTTTCACTATTTATTCATGTTTAATTCACTTTATCTTATTTCCCAGCGATGGCCGATTAGAGGAAAATAAAAATAGACGATGAGTGTCGGGAATTTCAATAAGAATGGTGTTTGAAATACTTCTTCATCAAATCCGGCGAGAAAGCATCGTGTGTGATTTGCAACGAAACCGTGGCTGTGATGGAAGAATACAACCTGCGCCGTCATCATCAAAGTAAAGATCAGGAAAAATATGCACAATAGGAGGGTCAAGTCCGTGCTGAAAATGTTTCTAAATTACGAAATCAACTCACATCTCAGAGGGCATTGTTCAGTAAATCCTCAAATGAAAAAGAATCCTTAACTAAGGCCAGTTATAAAGTTGCACACGTCCTGGCTAAAAGTTGCAAACCGTTTACAGATGGTGAAGTAGTGAAGAAATGTTTGTTGGTGGTGGCTGAGGTCAGACAAGTCAAATTAATTTGAAAATGTAGCTTTGGGTACAAATACAGTTGCCCACCATGTTGCAGACATGGGTGAAAAACATTGTGACTCAAATAGCGAAAAAGACAAGCAAGTTTCGCCCTTTTTTCATTTACAATGGAGGAATAGTTGGACAGCTGTTCCACCTCTCAACTGCTTGTTTTTATTAGAGGTGTGGATGAAGACATGAACATAAAACAAGAACTGGCTTCCCTACATAGTATGTATGGCACTGTCACCGGAAAGGATATTTTCAGTGAGTTGAAAAAAACATTTGCTGATTATAACTTGGACTGGACTAACCTCAGTTGCCTGACTGTTGATGGAGGAAAGAACATGAGTGACATAAGGAAAGGCTAGGTTGGACGAGTGAAGCACGTGTGTAGTGAGAAAAACATTCATAAACAATATTCCTTCACTGTATGATTCACTGGCAATCTTTGTGTGCTAAATATGTGGACATTAGCAGTGTACTGAATCCTGTGGAAATTATGATGAATTTAATAAGGTCACATGGGCTCAACCGTGGACAGTTCAGAGACCTGTTGAAAGATACGGACACAGAATCGAAAGATTTACCATATTCCACAGCAGCAATAAGATGGCTAAGTTGTGAGAAAGTTCATGAGCAGAGTATTTAAGTTAAGAAAGGAAAAAAGGAAATAGGTGACACACTGGAAAGTAAAGGCAAGCCACAGCCATTACTGTCTGATGAAGATTGGGTGTGGAAATTGGCATCTGTTGCAGACATAACTAGTCATTTAAATTTTCTTAACCCGATTTTCGGCGCCCAGGAGAGGGAAATCTAGTTTCTGATCCATCCACCCACCTTCAGATCCAAACTCATCTTGTTTTTTTTTTTTTTGAACAAGTCAGTACAGAGCAACGACTTGGCACACTTTCAGCAGTGCAAGGTCTTCATAGTTGAAGCAACAGCGTAGTTCCCCATGCGAGATCATCAAAGACCTCCTGCTGCAGTTTCAGCAGTGGTTTTATAATTGGATTCAACCCAGAAGAAGTGAGAATGTTTCAAAACCCATTTGAAGCAGATCTGGCCAGTTGTCCAGATGAACTGCAGCTGGAGGTCATTGAGTTGCAAGCAAATGACCTCCTAATGGACAAATTCGAAGAACGACTGGTGGGTTTTTCCAGTTTTTGCCCAAGGAAGACTTTCCTAATGTCAAAACTTTTGATTCAATCTTTGACACAACATACCTGCGTTAACAAACATTTTCAAGAATGAAATACGTGAAGAACAATTTGAGAACAAACATGTCCGATGAAAATCGCAGGTCACTGTTGGTGTTAGGGACATCAAATCTAAAGCCAGAAATGTCTGCTATTTTGGCATCCAGGAAACAATTTTACCATTCCCACTAATACATGAATTATGTATTGTGTTGCTTATGGTTGAAATGGCTAGAAAGACTTTGCAAATGTATGCCTGTAATTAGTTTTTGTAGTGTTGCGTTTGTTTTAAATGTGGTAAGTTATAGATTTGTTTTTTGTTGACTTTGTACCGCACTTCGAGCCTTTGGGGATGAAGCGTGTTTTTGAAATGAACTTTATTATTATTATTATTATTATGAATTCATTTGTAGTGCTTCGATGTGTTATCAAATAATAGCAGAATTAAATACTATTAAAAAAAAATAATTAAAAACAGCATCAATGTTTTGATTCTTTTTTATTTGGACCTGGAGTTTGGTGTCGGCTCTTTGGCATTTAGTGTGTAGTCGGCCCCCGAACTGCTTTTAGTTAATGCGGCCCTCGGGCTGTAACGTTTGGAGACCCGTGCTCTAATGTGATGGTAATTGGGGAGGGATTGAGCGTCGAATATCGAGAGTTTTAAAAGCGTGTCCACTATAGAAAGTGGAAAAGAACGTGAACTAAAAACATATGCAAATCGTCCATTTTAGACAGTTTCATTTTTTAAGACCTCTTAAACTAATGGACGGATGGACTGATCTAGCAATGTGTAAATTGTATTGTAAAATGAATTGTTTCTTCTGATAACCCACACGTGGCTCATTCAATCTTTCATTCTTGACATAGCACGTGACGTCATTCAACTTTGACCCCCACAAGTGGCTGCGCGTCAACTTTGAATGTTCAGCCATGTGGTGAGTTGCCCATTTTGTTATGGTCAGATGATTGTAAACGGAAGACAGTTAACTGTAGGCACTTTGTTTCAGTTTGAAGTGTTACCTTTTAAAGAATTGTTCCCTTAGTTAGGTCAAGAATGCTTCTCAATCTAAACACGTGACCCGAATTGTCGGATATACTGAACTCCTGCCGTAAGGTAAGATTTATTTAGAGTAGTCTACATTACGGTGGTCCTCAAATGGGGTTGAGACTTTGTTTCCAACTCAAACTCACGGTATCAGTGATTATTTCAGAAATGTCCCTCCCGGGGATGCATTTCTGATTTTTTCGTTGGGGGGGGGGGCAGTGCCAGATGCGTAACGAGGAGAGGGCAGGGGGGATAGATGTCCCTGGGCGCCATGTAGTTAGGGGCGCCAAAATAAGCTTTGAGATTATTTTATTGATCAAAATAATGGCCTTGAGTGTTTCCAACTCAAACTCACGGTATCAGTGATTATTTCAGAAATGTCCCTCCCGGGGATGCATTTCTGATTTTTTCGTTGGGGGGGGGGGCAGTGCCAGATGCGTAGCGAGGAGAGGGCAGGGGGGATAGATGTCCCTGGGCGCCATCTAGTTAGGGGCGCCAAAATAAGCTTTGATATTATTTTATTGATCAAAATAATGGCCTTGAGAGTTGAAAAAAAGAAAAAGGGGCGCTTTAAAATGGATCTTGTCCTAGGGCGCGAATCTTGTCCCTGGGCGCCAAACACCCTCGCTACGCCTCTGGGCAGTGACAGCAGTGCCAGTTGTTATATTGTTGGACATAATAATAATAATAAGACGTCTTATATAGCGCGGTACCCCAGCCTAGGGCTGGGCTCACCGCGCTGTACATAAACATTTTATCAAAAGAGACATAATCATGACATTAAAATAAAATATTTTTATGAAAAAAAGAACAGCAATGTATATTCACCCACCCCACCACATAACTTTTACAAGACACACCATGGACGGCAGCCAGCAAGATCATTTATTTGTTCCGGGGGGGGGGGCACTTGGCCCCCCCCTCCGAGATATACCTGAAAGAAACCCTTCCAGGTATGCGATGGGAAATTACTACTAACGATAGTGTACCTTGAAGGGTTGAGAATCGGTCTACTCTTCATATACGGTTAATAATAATCCTAAACAGTAACTTTTACTGGACTTGCTTCTGTACAGGCTTGCTTCTTCGCGCAGTAACACGATACGTCCACAGGGGTTAAATCGGAAAAGCAGAGGCGTAGGAAAGGGGGAGGGGGTTGAGAAAGGGGAAGGTCCTAATCGAGTTGAACTTTTTTTCCTTATATTGAGGTGTGCACCATCTGCACATTGCAGAAGTGATTTTTTTTTGTTTTTTTTTTGTTGAATGGGGTGGCAAGAAGTTGGCACGCCCTGGGTGGTACTAAACCTAGCTACTGGTATAACGAGGTCGGAAGCCGTCGGCCACCGTTTCTCCTTAAGTAGATTAGATTAGACCAGGTCAGCACAACACACGGCCCGCCGGCCGAATGCGGCCCATCAGCACCCACTTGGCGGCCCGCGAAGTAACAAAACATTCTTTATTATTATTTTTTCTTAACCGCTCCCCCCCCCCCCGTCCTATTTTCTTTGGGCCCGCAAAAGTTTTTCATAAAGTATTACGGCGGCCCGTTTTTTTGGTACATTTTGAGTTGTGCAGGTCTGGGTTAGTGTTGTGAACGAGATTGGTGTGAATGTTGGGTTGGGGGGGGGGGAGTGTTGATCGTGAGAGTGTATTGTGAGTTGTTGATCATGTGGTCGGAGCGTGAAGTTGGTGCGTGCTATTGAGTTAGTGTATGCCGAGGTTTTGGTGTGGTGATTCAAAAGGGCTGTTTAGTCGTGAGCCGAGTCGTTGGTAAGAGTAGAACAGAGAGACAAGTCGTTCGTTAGTGAGAGCTGTGACAATGTGTCGAGAAGAGTTGAACCGATGCGTCCGAGTCCAGAGTAGAGTCGAGAGACATAGTATTTTTGTATGATGCACGGTATGGCTTGTTGCCTCAGGATTGTATTCTTCTGCTGGATGAACCGTGTAGCAACTGTGCTTTGTACCAAGTGGATGTTTCAGTACATGTAAATAAATACCTGATTTGAAATGGACTAGTCGGTGTTTGAGTTGCTTGACCGAGAGAGAAAAGAGAGACGAGAATTAACCCTAAGGTCTGACACTAGGTTAGACATCCGAGTAGTCACCATCGGAGGCTGTACCCCCCCCCTCCCCCAATTTGACAACGGGAGAAGGCTGTAACATTAGAGAAGGCCGCATCATTTGAGAAGGCCGCAACAATTAGACTTTAAGGTAGTAGCGACATCGCCATGAGCACGCATGTTCTCAAAACTCTTTTTAACTACAGTTACAGGCGTGTGTTCTTAAAAAAATCCATTTTAGAAGCACCGAAACTCCCGTTTCTAACTCTTGCTTTAAATATTTTTGCATGTAGGGTCAAGGACACATCCCTTATCAGCGACGGCCACCAAGTGTCTCCGGTTTACTTAAAAGATAAAAAGGGAAACAACAACAACATACCGGAGTTCAGGGTATAGCAACACGATAGTGTAGTTAAATGACCATATTTCAACTTTTATGACATGATATTGGTGGGTGATAAGGAAATTTGTGAGTAAAATGTTAGGCGATGTGGTATGGGGGGCGGGGGGGGGTGGTGGGGAGTTTGTTATAACCTGTTAGTTTTGTTTTGGTTTGTCCTTTATTTTTGTTCTATTGCAACCAGTTTAAAGAAATATTTTAAGAGTATTAATTTTTTACTTAATTTTAAATGACCATATTTCAACTTTTATGACATGATATTGGTGGGTGATAAGGAAATTTGTGAGTAAAATGTTAGGCGATGTGGTATGGGGGGCGGGGGGGGGGGTGGTGGGGAGTTTGTTATAACCTGTTAGTTTTGTTTTGGTTTGTCCTTTATTTTTGTTCTATTGCAACCAGTTTAAAGAAATATTTTAAGAGTATTAATTTTTTACTTAATTACAGTAGAGTTTTTGCTATCATGTTCTTTTTTTTTTATTTAAAGAAAAACAAGTTTTTTAATTTGTTGTACGGCTGTATTAAACACTCACGAATGTGAAATATAGCCCCTAAAAATTCCACCTAATATATTTCCTCTAGTAATTCCATATAAAATATTGTGCCCTAAAAGTTCCACCTAATATAATTGTATCTAGTAATTTCATCTAAAATATTGTCCTTGAAAATTTACCTAAAATATTGCCCTAACACCTCCACCTAATATTGCCAATAAAAAATTCCACCGAAAATATTGCCCCCAATAATAACACCTAAAATATTGCCTCTAAAAATTCCACCTAAAATATTGCCAATAAAAATTCTACCTAAAATATTGCCCCTAAAAATAAATTTCACATAAAATATTGCCAATAAAAATTCCACCTAAAATATTGCGCACAATATTCCACCTAAAATATTGCCAATAAAAATTCAACCTCAAATATTGCCAATAAAGGCTCCACCTAAAATATTGCTTATCCGAAAGCAAGATGTATCAGATTTCCGAATGTCAGCTAAGCATGTCAAATATATTTTTTCTTGATAGAAGACTAGTCTATTTATTTCGAATTTTTATAATAAAACATGTTTTTATGAGGCCTTAATTACATATTGTTATAAGTTAGCAGTGTTCAACTTATTTTTTTAAAATTTATAATTCTTATTATTGATAATACATTACGAATTAACCAAAAGAAATAATTCTCTTTTTAAAAAAATCATACTTTTACATGTATGAAACAACATCTCACTAAGGGACGCTACTTGCATTTTCAGCAGATAGCGCTTAGCTCGGTAGCTGAATGCCAGAGGGTCAAGTAGCCTGAGGCCTATCGTTTATAAAAATATTGTTCCCATATTCATGCGCGTATTATCCAAAACCATAACTTAAAAATTTTTTTTGGTCATTAATTTCTAACATGATAAGGGATTATATTATAAAGTAAGTTACACTTAATTATTGTAAATTACTGCTAGAAAACAAATAATGTAATTTATTTACGAATAAGACCGTGGTTAATAATTATTTACAGGGTTGTGGAACACACTGACAATTTGAACAGAATAAATGGCGTCTCTATCTGACTTTATGTTCCAGCACTGGCAGGTCCCATTGGGCAGACGGTTCCGGTCTCTAAAAGTATGGTTTGTCCTCAGAATGTTTGGTGTCAAAAAGCTTCAGGATCTCATAAGGAAGGTAGATACCACTAAACAATCGATGATACAAAAATCATGGGTTGGCGATTTTAGTCAGTATCAAATTATTGCATTACTTCGATTAAAAATTGTATAATTATTATCTATAGACAGCCGTACTGTTGGTAACGTAAGCAATGACTTTTTTTGCCCATTGCAAAATTTTATTTCTCACTGCCGATTTCATACTCCCATTGAGTTTAAAGGGCCATAACAATTTTTTAAAACATATTAGTGCAGCAAATTTTAGCTCTGTTCTCTTCTTGAACTAGAAAATGCGTTATCATTAGTGACAATCAAACTGAATCAAGAACCACCCCCCCCCCCCCCCCCCCCCCCCCCAAAAAAAAAAAAAAAAAAACTCGCTCCGTCAATATAAATCAGCGGCTCTCAAACTATTTTAGGGGTCGAAATACCCTTCTCCAGGATTCGCTTCAGGCCATCGGAAAACACCTGAAGTACTTTGCGGTTAAGAAGTAGCAACGAAAAAAAATTTGTGATTTGGGGTTGCCACAACACGAGGAACTGTATTAAGGGGTCCCGACATTAGGAATGTTGAGAACCACTGATATACATTATATGATAAAAAATGGGTGAAAAATTATGATTTAAAAAAAAAATTTATGACTTTTTTTCATTAACTTAAATTGCAATTATACATTATTTTACAAATATTCGATTGCTTTTTGTTAAATAAAGAAGCAACTGTCTTATTTATTCCATAGACTTGTTGGAGAAGGTATGCATCGTATTTTACTGTATTTTCTCGTTAATTTTAGGATGTGGCATTGGCCAAGTTGTTTGAAGAATGTGTCAAAAAAGATGAGAGGTTCGAAATGGTAAGGGAAGTCACCCTGGGGTTAGCAAGTTTTAGACTGAAGGTGAGTTATCTTCCTATTTTCCTTCCATGTTTTAAACTGAAACGTCAAGACTCTCTTGTCTATCATCTCTGGGTTTGTGACATTTTACCAGAAGTTTTGATATAAATCGATTAAAATGGTAACTTTTTTTTTAAAAATAGGAATTATTTAATGGATTATCCATAATGAATTTCCTTTAAACCATGGAAAGATATCGCTACCCTAAAATCATTCATGAATTTGATGCCGAGGTCCACGTTTATCTTGCCGCATACACACAATTTATGATAATAACATAATCGAATGATTACATAATTTATTAGCCTAAACCATATTTTGTTGTTTAAAACTTGATCAGGGTGACAATGACGTCAATGAAAGACTCGTCGCCAAGATCAACCTGGACAGAAGGATCCACCTGGTTCCGTCTAAGATCAAAGAGACATTCTTCCTACGGTTCGCCATCTGCGCCGTGGACGCCCAAGCGTCCGATGTGACGTACGCCTGGGGCGTTATTCAAGAACTGGCCGACGCAATAACACCCGTCGTCAAAGGACATTAATCAAATGGTCAAGCGCCGAATTGATGCACATTGGATCAATCAATATGTTATATTTTAATGACTATCATTCTTTTTTTGTTTGTTAAGTTTTCTTTTCCATTCAATGTGATGATAAAATTATTTTCCATAGTCATACATCGACTTCCTTTCGTCGAATGTAAACTTAGTAACCTCAGTTCCTCGTATTAAAACATACATTTCATATCTGTTAATCCGTCAGTCATTTGTGAACGTAAAGATTGTGAATGGGGTGTGGGGGGGTGTGGTAACCGTCCCTGGCCGCACTTCTGTTGTTTAAATTAAACATTATATAATTGCAGTGTTGGGAGGGGGGGGGGACTTCCCCATGGGCGGCATTTATTTCAAGTAGCGATATAATTTGTAATGTTTCAAATTTCCAGTGCGATGAATACTCTAAGGTCATTTTTTTTAAAATCACTACGCTGCTAACAATAAATAATAATAATAATAAGTGGTCTTATATAGCGCGGTACCCCAGCCTAGGCCTGGGCTCGCCGCGCTGTACATACAATTATTATCAAAAGAGACATAATCATGACATAAAATACATTTATGAAATAAAGAACAACAAAAACACATGAATATTCACCCAACCCACCCCAGAACTTTTACAAGGCAAACCATGGACGGCAGCCAGCAAGATCGTTTATTGTAGCCGTCGCCGCTGACGCCCTGAAACCCTTGCAGCTCCAGAGGAATTCGAATATTTAGGGGCCTTATAGTAGTGATATAACCCCCCCCCCCTGTGTTCGCCATTGACATTGCCAGACGAGTGCCGTTAAAACTGTGATCGGGGCATTACTTATTCAAAGTTATTTATTTTTTTTTACTTACATCAATGGCGCATTCTAGACGACATAGAAGATAAATGTGCTAAATATTGCTTCTCGCCCTTAGTTCGCTACATGAATAGAAACAACACAAATTAATGCGAGTGAATGATTGATAATTCAAATGTAGGTGGTGTGAGAGATGATCAGCCTCCATCTCAGACTTAGACTATCCATTGGACGCACTTCTCCAATGAAATTTAACTCACCACATGGCTGTCTGCACCATGGTAGAAACGTAATTACATGTCACGCACTACCCCCATCCTTATCTCCACGACCCTTCTCGTAGATTATAATATGTTTCGGCACACGATATTTACTTTTACAAGATGTCTCTTGACCGTTCCTTCTTCCCTCTTTCCAATCCCTCCCCCCGATAAAAAAAAATTAAAGGGCATTTAAGGCGGCAGGTTCTCTTACACATTTAAGGCGGCAGGTTCTCTTACACATTTAAGGCGGAAGGTTCTCTTACACATTTAAGGCGGCAGGCTCTCTTACATATTTAAGGCGGCAGGTTCTCTTACACATTTAAGGCGGCAGATTCTCTTACACATTTAAGGCGGCAGGTTCTCTTACACATTTAAGGTGGCAGGTTCTCTTAAACATTTAAGGCGGCAGGCTCTCTTACACATTTAAGGCGACAGGCTCTCTTACATATTTAAGGCGGCAGGTGCTCCTACATTTCTTAAAGCTGTTGCCACCATGATCGCCTTTGAGCTTTGAACCGGGGGCCAGTGAGGAGACTGACATCGGCACTGACTAAATGGAGAACATCGGAGAGCGCCCCGTGTTTACTGTCGTCCAGAGACACATCTTAACGCCAAGGGCGCCGGATGAGTGGGAGCCATGGGACGAGGTCAAGAACGATTTGGAACGTGTGATACTGTCTGGGGTGAGTTTATGAAATGTTTTACAGAAAGATTCAGCATCTGTCCAAATGGCTAGGATAAGATTATCAATGTCTAACAAAAAGATTTGGAACACACGGAACTGATTTTAAATAAAATATGGCTTGCGCTGTGAATGTTTGGTCTGAAAAAAGAATACAGAATCGTATAAGGAAATTTTTTGGTCCGTTAAGATTCCTCACCTTATTTTTTGACAGCACCAATATTTGTATATTCTTTCACTTCCTGTTGTCCTACTTCCGGAAAAAAAAAATCTCTAAATTTTTTTTTTTTTGTTTTTTTTTTACCGTGCTCTGTTTCTTGTCATTCTTCTTTTCGTCATGTTGTTTTAGATGAAGGCTCTAAGCCGAAACGGGCTATTGTTGAGACTTATACCCATGACGTCATTTGCGTGTTTATTTAATATTTGTGCAGGAGTCATTCCCCTTTGCTAATTTTATTGTTAATTTTATTGGATGAAGTGTCGGAAGTGGTGGCAGCGAAGGAATATTTTAATAACCGGTTGGAACTAGATTTCATGTGAATAATTAACGAAGATTAATAGAAAAGTTTAAATTTTATGATTTTAAAACTGAAATTTTATGTTTTTAAAATTCATGCAGAGAGTGTGGAAAAGTCAGAATGTTAGAAATATTTTTGAAAAATAGAGAAATTAATTTTCGTATAAGGTACTTTAAAATTATGCGGATATAGAAAGGTGTGCTTAAATATTACATCACTGTCATCTTATTGTGCTTCGGTGTCCGGCGGTAAGTTCAAAATTTGTCGTTGTTTTTTTTGCATCTACAATTTGATCGTTTGCCGGTTGTTGTTTAGATCAATTGGTTATGCAAGTTAAATTTACCGCCCGTTTTCGGAATCGCCTGGAAGCTCAGGGTAAAATGAGTGTGATGGATTGGGTCATGAGTGATGGTCTTATTGCCGACCGGTACGAATGGCCTAATTGTAAGGAGGGCATGAAATCGTGTGCAAGTGCACATGTTTCAGATGAGTTTGCATGGAGATATCGCGACAAAAGCTATGTCTGTATTATGCGTAGTATAAGGAAGAGATCGTGGTTTAGTGACAGTAACTTGACATTTAGTGACATTCTATTATTGACACACTTTTGGGTTAAAAAACTGCCTTTGGGAAATATTGCGACAGAATTGGGTGTTAATCAAAGTACTGTAACCGAGTGGGTGAGGTTTTGCCGCGAGGTATGTGCGGAAGCATGTGTTTTGGCGAGTGAGAATTCTTTGTTTTATGATTTTCTGATAATGTATAATTTTTAAAAAAGGCACAAATGTGTTAAAATTTTGATGAAGAAATCAATATATATCGAATTCCTGTAATACAAAATATATTTATATCATAAATTGAGTTTTGTTGTAAATTTAAGATTAGGTTTAAACTCATCCAAATAAGAACAAACCGTATGAAGTGCAAATTGTTAGTTTGGATATAGAAGGGACTACAATCCGTCGGAAGATTTTATTAATTGTATTTAAATCTGTGGGGGTTGGTCAATTTGCCCCAGGCATTACAAGATCCTCTCAAAATAAGGAATGAATTTGATAAATAATTAACCTTTTTTGGAGTAGGAAATAGAATGTGCGAATTTTTACGTGGATGACAATATATTTAATTCCTATGGCATTACATATGTTAAGAAAGAGATGCTACTTTCTCCTTTTAAAACTATGTGTATGTTAAATTTTCCCCGGAAAGCACAAGATACGTCTCAAAATAAAGGAATTATTTTTATAAATAATTAACCTTCTTGGGTAAGCCTACATACCTCTCGGAGGTAGAAAAAAAGGATGTCTACATTTTCACGTGGATGACAATATATGTAAATCCTATGGTTTTACATTTGTTAAAAAAGAGATGTTACATTCTCTATTTACAAGTAAACATAATTTTACCTATTAAAAATCAATGGCGTTAACAAATCGTTGGCACAATTATTAAAGTATATACATAAATATCAAACCCCAATCATTTTATACAATTGAAAAGGTAATTTTTTAGAATTGAGATTTGTTAATTTTTTTTAAAATGAAAATATATTTTTGTTTTTACTTTGCGAAAAGCAAAGTGGGTGCGAATTTTTGTTTCACAATTTAAAAAAAAAAAAAGACACTCAAGTCCGTTAGAGAAGTGAAAAAACCGTTGCGAGATTCTTCTTTACATAAGAGAATTCGTTGTTTCACGATTTTCTTTTTAGAATTGAGATTTTTTAATTTTTTTTAAAATGAAAATATATTTTTGTTTTTACTTTGCGAAAAGCAAAGTGGGTGCGAATTTTTGTTTCACAATTTAAAAAAAAAAAAAGACACACAAGTCCGTTAGAGAAGTGAAAAAACCGTTGCGAGATTCTTCTTTACATAAGAGAATTCGTTGTTTCACGATTTTCTGATAATGCATAATTACAAAAGCAAGGCAAATGTATGTTTAAATTTTTGATGAAGATAGAAATATATAAAATTCCTTAATATATATTTTTTTATATCATACTTAGAGTTTTTGTTGTAAATTTAAAATTATGTTTTTAACAATTTGTAGAGAAAAAAAGGTTGGAATTCTAGGACACGAAAAGGGGAAAATTTAAATGTATTCTCTAGCATTGAAATCGCCCCTCAATTAACTGCTTCAATGACAAAAGTGATATAATTAATAATAATTTAGTAGGCCAATTTAAGGTCATGTTTAGTAGGGAAATTTAGTTTAGGGGAGTCAAAAGGAGTAGGGTAGGCGTATAATATATAGCAGATAAATACTTCTCAAAGCTTAATGATGTTAGAAACGTAAATATCATCATATTGATACTTTTTTAAAGGTAGGAATTGCGATTTTGCAATAGTAGGTAGCAACTATCGCAATGGACCTACCATTATTACCCCGATAACATCGGGACATTTATTCTAGTATATATGAACAAATGTTAAAAAGTGACGTAAAATATAGGCATGTGTTTCACTAAATGTGTCTGCTGCAACGCTAGTATCAATTCTTGAAACATTTTTTTTATTTAAAGTTGACTTTGAAGCCACCTGCAGTCTGACGTCTGTTTCATTAAGCTGAGTTGACAACTGCCAAGTTTGCACAGTACTTTCTTGTAGTGAACTGTTTTTTTGTGCTTGTTTGTTTTTTGGTTTTATATAGGACCTTTGGAATCATTCCGTGTTTCAAATATTTGAACGGAGTCTTAGATGTTATGAATTCAAAAAGTAAAGAATATTAGCTGTTTAAACGTAAAGCGATGGAAATAACTAAGTGCGGCGAAATACCATTCAAGTGGTTCGAATTGACAGAAAGTACGTGGCACAATGGAGAAGCAGTCTACCGCTGGGAGCGGCTGAAATGTTGGTCTTAAACTTTAACGAAAATCAACACAAAATAATAGATTTGTCTGCTGCGATGTTTAGGAAAGTCATGGGTCGAACTTCAACATGAGCCAATATGTTTGTTTTTTTCTTCTTAAATTT